TCCCAGCCCAGGGCAGGTCAGCTCTCCACCCTTGACATCAGGCTCAGAGTTGGGCTCTCGCCCATTGGGGTGCCCTGAGCAGAGAGCCACCTGCCACTACACAGCGCCCTGGCTGGCGCAGGAGGACCCGAGGAGGAGGGCACGTGAGGAGGGGAAGGGCCGCATGGCTGAGCACAGGAGCGGGGCTGAGGGAGGGCCCAGAGGCCCCAGTGGACGCCAGTAGGTGCTAACCCACGGCATGGTGGCATCATTCTCCCAGGTCCCTGCTGACACCCCAGGCCTGGGAAACAGATCTTCCTAGAAGCCACTGCCTTTTAACTGGTGAAGGAGAATTACTTACGGGGTGGTATTTGTTGGTGTCACAGAATAAGGACAGTGGGTGAAGAGAGGCATTAAGTGGAAAGCCGGGAGCTGACACATCTCCAGGGCTGGCCCCCAGCAAAATACAGATGCCCCCTGGCAGCCCAAAGAATGCCTGCCTGAGAGGGAGAAATGGGAACAAGGAGGCCCTGAAGGAGAAAGCCCCACATTCTTCCCATCAGCAGGGACAGAGCGGCAGGGAGAGGCCCCACCTCACCGCGTGCAGAAGTAGAAGAGGCTCCAGGTGGAAAGGCTGCCGCACTGCCCACTCCAAGTGTCCTCAAGGCCAGCACGACACTCCCGGCTTGGATTTCTTTGATTCTGGAATAATTCTAGACAGTATTCCTGCCCTCACACAGACACGCAGGGCGAGGTTTTTGTGGAGGTGGTGGGGGTGGTGAGTTTTAAGTCGGGTCCTGCATTGTTGCCAGTCAACTTGGCCGTCTGTGCCAGAGTGGCTGCTGCCAGGGTCTGCCCAGCTGAGGTCTGGTGTGAGCATGGCATTGGGAGGGAGCCTGGGCCCTGACTAGGCCACTAGAAGCTGTGTGATTGTGGACAGGTTACTCAACCTCTCTGTACATGGGCTTACAGTAAAGTCACGTGATGGCATCCTAGGGAGAGTCAAGGCCAGGGCATTGGGAGTCCCTGGCGTCCAAAGTCAGGTCTGGGGCTCCTGCCCTGGCGCAGCCTCTGTGTGGCCACGGACTCGCAGAGACTGTGTGTTTGAACTGCATCTGAAATGCTTTGCCTTCTGCTCTTCAGAGGTTGCTGTGTTTTGGGGAAACATAAGGAACCAACAGTAATTCAGACTTGTAAGTTCTTATCAGCAGTTAGGATCTCTGTAAAGCTTTAGGAGAAAATAAAAAGAGAATTTAGCCATGTTTTTTGTTTGTTTTAAATATATTTTTATTGCTTTCAGAGAGGAAGGGAGAGGGAGAGAGAGATAGAAACATCAATGATGAGAGAGAATCATTGATCGGCTGCTTCCTGCACACCCCCGACCAGCTGCGCTTGTTCTACTATCTATCTATACTAATAAAAGGGTAATATGCTAATTAGACCAGATAGATTAGACATCTTCTGGACATCATTTCAGACGTCCTTCCTGACAAAGCCAGGGCCCGTGTGAAGCCGCCCGGGGTCCCGGGTGCCTGCAGCCAGCCAGAGGGAGGGAAGCCTGGGTCCTGGCTGCCTGCGGCCAGCTGGAGCAGGGGCCAAGGCAGAGGTGGTTAGGGGCGATGAGGCAGGCAGGCGAGCAGTTAGGGGCGATCAGGCAGGCAGGCAGAGGCGGTTAGGGGTGATCAGGCAGGCAGACGAGTGGTTAGGGTGATCAGGCAGGCAAGCAGAGGGGTTGGGGCGATCAGGCAGGCAGGCAGAGTGGTTAGGGGTGATCAGGCAGACAGGCAGGTGAGCAGTTAGGAACCAGTGGTCCTGGATTGCGAGAGGGTGCAGGCCGGGCTGAGGGACCTCCCCCCATGCATGAATTTCATGCACCAGGCCTCTAGTCCACCTATATAATAAAGAGGTAATATGCAAATTAACCCTCACACCCTCACTAGATGGCTGCCTATGATCAGGCCAGCAGGGGGGTTAGTGAGGGACGACCAAATGACTGAACAAGCAGGCTGCATGGGGCAACCAGGCTGGCAGAGGGGGGCAGTTGGGGGTGACCAGGCGGTGGGGGG